CCATGCCAGTGATTAGAAATAGGATAATTATTTTGCTTACTTTATTTAAATAATTGCTAAAACTGGTAAAATAAAAATGTGGGTGAAAGATTAATATTGTACTCTTAGTTACCCTCCTATAGAGATTTATATTCATTTACTTATCTGTTATGTTGTAACTAGATTTAAATTGACAATATAACTTAATAATTTACCAATTTTAGCCTGCACAAGACATCTGCATTTGAATGAATCTGTCAATATTCCCAGAAAGACAAGTGAAGAAAAAGAAAAAAATAGGTATTTTATTGGAAGGGTTAAGTGCAAAAGATTATCTGTAAATTCTTGCGGGTCTTCTGCTTCTCTATGCTTTATAAATTGGACCCTGAGCATAGTGATTAAAGTAACGGATGTGATTAAAGATGAGCTAGGAGCTATGCCTCCAAGTAATAGCCAGTAATGGAATGGAAAAATATTGTTTTCTAAAGGTATTCAATTAGACAGTATAAGAAGGCTGAATATTAAATGCCTGTTCTTTTGATAGCATTCCAATTAATGTCAAGTAATAAATTAGCCCAGGGATTAGGTGAATGGGAAGGAGGGTTAATCATTTTCACTGTTTGCTCAGTTACAATGACTAGAATACTGAACAATTTGGGATTCTGGTCCTATCCAGTTAAATCTGTTTCTAGTAAACTAGAGACTTCTTTTTTATTTTTTATTTATTTTCCCTAGAAGTACACCAGCAAATATTTCTTAGGAAAGTGAAAATTGGTATTTTATGGTAAAAACAAACACAAGTATCTGAATTCCAAACACTTCACTCTTCTTAAGGTAAATCCTTTAGTTCCTCTATCTGTCCCGAACAATGGAAATTGAAATGTATACATCTTTGAAAAAGTGATTTATCTGTTAGTCAGAAAGTATTCTTAGCCCTTGAGTTAGAAAACTATTAGATCAAAAATTGGATTTTCTTTAAATTATACTACCAACTTCTATTTCTCAGTTGATGGACATCACTGTCCCCTAAACTCTTATCAGTAACTAATGTGAGATTAGAGCATTGCAGTTTGATTATTAAATATTTTTGAAATGTGCAAATGGCATGATAATATGATGGGATTAGTGTTTACTATATCCATAAATACTTGAAATTAGCACAGCAAAGTAAATAGTATGATAAACAATTATTTCTTTGTGGGGGAGGTTCTGTAATTCATTCATTTTTATTGTAAATTATACATTCTATAAAACAGTATTTCAATATACATGGATAGTGTTAAATGTCAACAGATGCTCCCAACGGAAGTATTTTCAATTTCTTCCCTCTCTCCTACTGAAATATTGCCAAGTTAAATCAGTGACAAAAGACTCCATGGCCCAAAATGGGAAAAAAATGCTACATTCAGCTTTGAATAGAAGATATCATCAGCATCACAGAAGTAGTCATTAAAATCCAATGTGGAAAGGAATTATCCATGCCTAGTCAACGTATGGTCTAAGCTGCTAGCTTAGATAATGTGTAAGCATGAGTTTATTGCATTCTGTGAACAACAACAAAAACATCACAATTTAGTGTACTTTACAACTTTAAGAGACAGCACTGTATTCAGTAAGCATCTGTACTGTATTAGGGGCCTCGTTATTTAATATAAATTCAAGAAAAGGGTATTTATGTTCCTCAAGAAAATTGGTCTCTAATAGCTTGATTTCATGACAGAAAAAGTTTCATGTTGTCATGGTATCTGTTTGGGACTTTCTGGGTTTCTTTCTGTAATAAACCCATCTTGCTTGATAACTTTCCACTTACTGTCCAGTTTGAGGAGAGCTAGACATCACCAGGATCTCAGGTTTCTAGGATTTTTTCAGAAACCAACTTGAGAGGGAAAAGAAACACAGTTAGCACGCAGTGAAAGACAGACCAAGTACAGTTATCTACTGATTAGCCATGCATCCTTCACATAATTCAATGCCTGTTGCTAGTCTCTCCAGACAGTGTTAAAGAAAAATGAAGGAAAGAAAGCCATGGCTGGTAGGGACCTGGAAATACTTTGTGAGAGAAAGGGTTATAGGAGGTTTTGAAGAAAATGGGATTAGTGCGTTGTTGTGATAAGAAAATTAACAAGACCACAACAAAAAGACTAAGCCTGATTACTATTATTCCTGACTCTGTAGAAACAAATTGTTTATTACTATCTTGACTGATAGGATGTGTACTTTGGGAATATGTGCTTTTATGGAAACAAATGTGATTGGCAGATATTCATTGCTTATGAATTTACACTGCTTGAGATTAAAGATACTCTATAGCTTTGGAACTGTAAAAAAGTTCTTCTTGTGGTGGCTCCAGGAAGGTCATTTAATTCATGTTTCTTGAGTGTGCATTTGATGGAGTGTTATTTTAGTGAAGTGTAACCAACTAGATTGAGAGCTGTCTGTTCTAGAGCTGAGAAAACAAACAACAGTGTTAATGTTTTTCAGATGTGTGATGTAGAACATACATGTCTAACCCAAAACTTTTAATGTTTTTGTTGCCCTCTTTTTTATGTTTTAATGAAAAATATATTTTTTAAATGTTTTGTTACTTATATACATTAACTATATATTTTATATTTGGCCCAAGACAATTCCTTTTCACTCAACACGGCCCAGGCAAGCCAAAAGGCTGTAGACTCTTTTATTTATACTGTAAATTTCACAAATGTTTGATGACAATAGATAGTTATATATTCAAATGAAATAGACAAGAGATTCATGAGAGATGTACCTCTTCAGGAAACTAAGTTACATCATCAGGAGCTTGTAGGGCAGTAGTTAAGTGTTTGATCCGTGTCTCACCAATTCTTATATTTTTAGTACCATCTAGTAATGGAAGATAACAGTATTTAAGTCTCTAGATTTTACAATGTACTGTGCCCCTAGAATGCTGTTTTCAAACAGTATCAGAAATGCTTCTGATTGAAGCACTTCTAAGAACTCTTATGGGTCCAAATCTAGTGTATTTGCAGTGTGCTTGTTTTCAAGTGGTTAGTCTGGCCAGTAGGATTTAAGTCTAATGTAAGTCTAAGTAATTCTACTATTTGGACTATGTTGAAAATTGTGGGTAATTTCTAAAGTATTTTAGAAAATCTCTCTTTAAAGCAAGAAGTTTAGTACTTTGCAAAAGAATTGTGTGAGTGGTTTGAACTACTGATTAAGCAGGACTCGTGAGAAAATTTTGCAGTCAAGATATTAAAGACTTTGATGATGTTACTGTCATTTGCGTATCATCATGTGAGTCCTGTAACTCTTAACCAGCTTTCAGGAATAAATCTATTTTTTATTTTGAAAAATTAAAATATTTTAGTGTGTTTTTTACTTGATTTTACATTAAAGTGAAAAGACATGGTATAGATCCTTTCCCTTGATACTTGCATATTTGTGGAAGATAGTATTTTTGTGGTGTTTTTTTTTCTGAAAGACTGAACAGCACAGTTACAATTCTGCCTACAGAGAACAGATATGTGTATGGGGAGGAGGAGCGGGGGGATATCTGCAGTATAATAAAAGAGAATTTTATGTAACAATTTCTAAATACGTATTCTTCCATTTTTGCTATACAAAACTAAAAGTCATTCATTAAAGTTGCAATGGAATGGGAGAGAAGAAGAGAGAATGTATGTTAAACTCTGTGTGCCTTATGTGGTCCACTAAAATGTGTTGAGTACTGCAGAGCAACATAGCACATTGTTCTATGCAAAGGCTCTAGTTGTTTTTCTAAATCAGAAATCAACCAGGGCAGATCCCAAGTCTTCAGAAGGGACTGATTGATGCTTTAGCAGGGTCCAGATCTACCAAATCACAGGATGTCAGCTCCTTTCATGCAGAAGCCTTCATTTCTGGCAAGACTTTCTGCTTGTCTGGAACATGTTCTGAGATAATGAACCCTTCTATTCCTTTGTTTTTTAAGGTGATGGAGGGTCAGGGCCATTACTTCTGTTGGAAAGATAACCCACTGGGCGGGACAGCAAAACAAAAGAAGGAAATTCAACATTTGAATTCAAAATACAGAATTACGAAAGCAGACCCTATAGCCAGTATGTTGCAGTAGGTCTACTAATCAGCAATACAAGTTCAAGGAATATTCCACATACTGGACTGATTTAACAACTACGACTGAATGAAGTCAGGCTGCAGCTCCCACTTCCATGTCCCTGCAGAGTGATAGCTAATGTAGTACTGTCATGAGAGCTAGGGCATCACCTGGCCATAGCATAGTGTTAGGACTGTGCATTAGTATGTCCATTAGTATGTGCATATTTTAGACTGTTCACCTGAGTGTGCTTCAAAATACTTTATCCAGCTTCTTGTGCAGGACCAGGAAAAAAAAAAATCATAGAAATGCTCAAACGTAATATGATACTTAAAGAAAAGGAAACAAAACTGAATCAGGAATTCTTCTGTCAGTCAATAGAAGTTCTGTTGGGTTATTAGTTCTTTAGCTCACATTTACTTTGCCTTCATACTGCAATTTTTGTGCTTACAATTAAAAAGTGAGAGAGTGTAAACATACAAAATCCTGCATGTTGTATTATCTCTTCTTAAAGCATGAAATTACATGAGATTTTATCTTCACAAAGTCTTAAGCCTTTTGTGCCTATAAGATATGCGTATTAACCAACATATATACTTTTGGCCCATTCATTCTCTTTGGCACTAAAATTGTTGCTCTCTGTATTCTGGGGATATATGCAGGAAGGTTACACATGACTTTTCAGTGTTTCCTGTGTCACTCTGATAAGGTACTGGGAAAGCATTTGTTTCCTTTTTT